TTAAATTTTGCGCTAATGTCGTCTAGTATCGTATAGAAATGATTTCTTGTTTAACTTTCAGTATAAAGAAAGGGATATAAATTCGAGATGATAAAGCAGGCTTTAAATAGTAATAGGGAAATAATAAATAAATAGTATAGCTATGACTTGAGTAGATATATGCACCCTGCTATTGCATATGGATTAAGGGTTTATTAACTATATAAAAAGGGAGAGAAAATCACACAGTCAGACCAAGGCTATTGAGTAAGAAAATAAATAGGTTCGATCAATGTTATGTTTCCTAAAGATAAGTAGGTCATTTCGTTTAAGGAGATGAAGGACTGGTAGTTGAAGTATTCCACAATTATATGAGTTGAGCTGACGCTTTTATTGAATTTTGCATAGCTTTGCTTTCCCAAAAGGTATTCTCATCCAGGGTGGACTGCAGTTTCGACCTGGTCTAGGTCTTATTAAACCCCCAGCAGAAATCGACCAATGACAGTGGTGTGTGTAATCTCGACACGTTAGCCAACAGGCCACATTGCAACGAGTGCCTTTGGATCAAAGGGTAGATGTGAATTTCAAGGAGGGCCAGGCCGTTTCCATTTCATGAAATTGATTTACTGGTAGTCTCGAGATTACACGCTGCGCTATCATGTTTCGATTTTCGCTGGGGATGCTGATAAGACTTAGATCAGATCGAAACTGCAATCCACCTCGGATGAGAACACCTTTTTTCGGAAAGCAAGGTTATATGAAATTCAATGAAGTTGCAACTCTACTCATAGTATTGTGGGAAAATTCACCTACCAGTCCTTCATCACCTTAAACAAAATAGTGTGAATACATCTCATATGACTGTCAATACCGTTATGGAGAGGAATTAATGAATTAAATGTCATATAGCCTTAGACTTATTTTGAATAACATCAGATAGCTATTTAAGACTATTGCAGCCATACAAATGGACAAGTAGATAATGATACTTTGAAAAAAATCATCCGAGTAGAACATTTACTGGCGAGGTAGCTCTCTATTGTGCGTAAATGAAAGTCATAGGCATAAGAATGTAGATGAGTGTAGTCACATAGACGGCTCGACTCGTCCCACGCGAACTGCTGTTGTTCATGTTGAGCATGGCGATAACGGTGCTGATAGTGCCAAACAGCTGATTGCCAAGCTACAGCCGCTGTACCCATGTTGTTCAGTAGGGCGGATGTACTAGTTTGCACAGCGTTGGTGGGATTTGAGGAAGAGCTAACGCCGAGATCGCTAGTCGCATATCTAGCTGTCGACATCTCATGACATGCACCACGACGCACAGAGTCAGCATTAGGTTTTCCAAGAACTCTATAC